AAAATGAGTCCGTGTCTCACTGAATTGCCTAGTTTGACCTTGAATTCGGTCTGTATCTCAGGCAGGTCTTGAACTTGGAATTCTCTTGCCTCAGCCTCCAGAGTAGCTAGGATTAGTCTGTGTCTCCAGGCCTTGGCAAGTGTATCTTCATAACCTAATGAGTACAATTTTTTTTTGAGGCATAGTTTTGCTATGTAGCTTGGTCTTGAATTCCCAGAGATCTTCCTGCCTCTGCTTCCTGAGTGTTGGCATTAAAGGTGTGTGCTACCATGCCCAGCTGTGAGTATAAGTTTTGTATTCCCAATATCTCACTAAAAAATTGAACTGAACTAAGTACAGATTTCCTGAGTGGAATTTTCTTTCCATAATATAAAAATTCTTTAAGTTCTCCCTTTGTATTTTTGAGGGGTCTTTTTGAGACAGGGTTTTCCTACAGCCTCAACTAGCCTGGAGCTTAATATGTAGACCAGGCTGGCCTTGATTTCAACAGAGATCTACCTGCCTCTGCCTCCCTAGTGTTTGGATTAAAGGCATGTACCACCACACTAGGCTTCCTTTGGATATTTTTTAATTGTTTATTATTTTGTGTGTATGAGTGTATTTCCTGGATGTATGTAAATGCATCTGTGTTGTGCAGTGCCCACAGAAGTCAGAAGGTGTCAGATCCCCTGGAACTGGGAGTTAGAATGGTGGTTAGCTACCAAGTAGGTGCTGGGATTCAAACCCAGGTCCTCTGCAAGAGCAGCCAGTGCTCTTGACCATTGAGCCATCTCTCTAGCCCCATCCTTTGGATGTTTTGAAACAGTGTTTTACTATGTATCCCATGCTGGCTTTGAACTCACTTTTGTAGCCTAAGCTGACCTCCGACTTCAGCAATCCTCCTAAGCCTCTGAGTGCAGGGATTACAGGTGTGCACCACTGCACCCAGCCTTGGCCTTCCTATTAACTTAATTTTCTCAGAATCTGCTGTTTCATGCCAGAACAAAGCTGTATGTTGTGAATACTTTCTTCTCATACTTCCCTGGATCCTTCTTCTGCCACTATAGCCCTTGAGATATGGATCTCAGAGACTTGGGGTTTATAGCTCAACACTGTAAAAATTCTTTCTTTCTCCAGCTGACAATGTTCTTTGTACCATTTGCCTTTCTGAAACTGTTGATTCTGCTTGCCTCCCTTTCCTTAATATACATGTACTGCTTTAGGCGGCACACCTAACGGTGTAACGAAAAAATTAAAAGTATCTTATTGCCTTCAGTTTTACATCCAAATGGATTTTAGGTTCCTGGGTTGGTAGGATTTTTAGAGTGCTGCAGTAAAGTCAGTGTGATGTGAATGCTAATAGACAGGTTAGTCATCATGTAACAAGCCACAAATACTGTACAGGGTGGTGAGATGAGAAAACATTCCTTTTCTACCATAAGGAGCACGATCCTGGGCCCAGGGACCAGAGGTAGTTCTCAATCCTTCAGGGTAGCTAAGAAGCAGCATTCAGGTGCAAAGAGTAAGAGCTTAGTTTGGATTCCTTTCTGGTTTACTGAGGTGTCCAATAAGGACTTTTCATTTCATTTCAGGGCCTCTTCCTAACTATTAAGTTCACCCTTCTCCACCAAACAAAACGAAACCTGACTCAGTTCTAAAGGTAAATATAATCTTAACAAAGGCCAATTTTAACAGTTATGTCTCACCAGAAAGTGGGGAGAATTGAGAACGGCGAAATCTTCTCAATGAAGATATCTCTCAAGAAGAGAGATCTTCCCATGCCAGATCTTAGCACTTTCTAAATTTATTTTTATTTCAGCTGTGAGTTTTGCCTGCATGTATGTAAGTGCACCGTGTATGTACAGTGCCTGCAGAGGCCAGAAGAGGGCATCAGATCCCCTGGAACTGAAGTTATAGACAGTTGTTAGCCACCATGTGGGTGCTGGGGACCAAATCCGGGTCCTCTGCGAGAGCAGCCAGTGCTCTTAACCATTGAGCCATCTCTCCAGCCCTTTGAGTCTTAAAAATTTTTTTTATTTATTTCTGTTGTATGTGTATGAGTGTTATGCCTGTAAGTATGTTGTGCAGTGCCCAAGGAGGACAAAAGAGGGCAGCAGATCCCCTGGGACTGGAGTTATAGATGGTTGTTAGCTGCCATGTGGTTGCTGGGATTCGAACCCAGGTCTTGTGCAAGAACAGCCAGTGCTCTTAACCACTAGGCCACAGCACTTTTTTAAAAAGAGATTCTTGTTTGGTATGGTGTGCATACCTTTAATCCCAGCACTTGGGAGGCAAACAGAACTCTATGAGTTGTAGGCCAGCCTGATCTGCCTAGCAAGTTCCGAGGCTTCTTTATTGGATACCCATGTGCTAAGCACAACCGTAAGCATTTATATATACTTTATTTTGTTAGTCATTCATCCCAGTTATACTACAAGGTGAAGAAACAATTTCTTATGAAAACAGAACTTGGAAACAAATGTGCTTTAACTCTTTATACCCTAAATTATAATAACCCCTAATCAGAAAAACTTCTATTTTGAATCCAGAATGAGTTTGCCCAGAATCATCTGGGTTATAAGCATGTCCAGGGATATAGTTTAATAAAATGACTGAAAGATAATAGACTATAGTGAAAAGTATATGAGCCTAAGGAAGCTCTTAGCAGCCAGGGCTAAACCTGCTTCCATACTGGATTATGGACTGAAAGTCAGAGTTCCCTTCTTTGGTGAAGTTGCTGCCTTTTGATACTGTCTGCAATGAAGCACTTTGAATTGCAGATATCCTGTCCAAGAATCTCTAGTGGAAAACACAGGTCTTCAGAGGTTTTAAATCTATATTAGCAACAATGGGCAAGTTTCTTGAGACCACCAAAGACTTTCAAAAGAAAGTGATCATCTGTCCTTGATCTCAGTCATGAAACCTGGGTGATGGGTTCATAGCGTTAGTAGGATTCCCCTATTTTGCTGCTCATACTCATTAATGGCCTCAATCTGTCACTTTGGATTTGCTCAGTAAGTGTATTTTGAGTAAATACAGAAGTTCATTTATTCTTTAACATCATGGAGGGTTTTTCCACCAGATAAGTTTAGTGACTGCACTTCCTTACCATCTTCCATGCCAATAGTCAGCATCACCATTATCTTCATGGTGTTCAGTCCTGTGTCAAGTCTGTACCAATCCAGATGTTTCTTTATGTGAAACATGTTGCAGGTTCTCAGGCCAGCTGTGAAGACCCTGACCTGGATCGGGTCTCCTTCCAATTGCAGGGGGGCAAGAGGCGCAGAGTCACAACACATACAGACCCTGGGAGTCGGGTAGAAGCAAGCACTAGGCAAGGTGCTGCAGGCTCGTTTAATGCAGGAGAGGGTAGGCCTTATATTTACCTTTTCTCCGTCCCCAAGTCCCTTTAGTCAGCGTATCGTTTTCTGATTGGTCCACGCCACACAGTCTGTCAGCAGTCACTGGGCTCGAGAGCAGGGTACGGAGGCGTGGGGTCCTTTTGGCGGGCTATTTGCAGACCAAGAAGTGAAGTGAATTCTCACTGAATCCCAGGGCTCTGGGTCCGCGCCATCTTTGGAGGCCTCCTGCTACAGAAACAAAGTACTAAAACCTTGAAGAATCTTTCCTGGATGTCTTTTAAATCTAATACTTGGGTGTTTTCAAGGAAGAGTCATGGCTATGACTTGTCAAATTGTGTTTCTGTTAAAGTTATACAGTTTTATTCTCTTAAAATTGCTTCTCTTATAAAGCATTAAGAGAAGAACTCTTCAAATCTATCACTAATAGGGACTGGAGAGATGGCTCAGTGGATAAGAGTGCTTACTCTGTAAACACAAGGACATGAGTTCTAATCCCCAGCACCCATGTAAAGTGCCAGGCATGGCTGTACATGACCATAATGGAGGTGGGGGCAGAGAGAGGTGGATCCTGAAAGCTTGCTGGTTAACCCAGCCTAGGCAAACCAGCTAGCTTCCAGTTCACTCCTGGCAAGAAGGCAAAGAGCAGCAAAGGAAGCTCCTGATGTCCTGCTCTGGCTGCCACATGTGCACTCACCAGTGCACACACCTGCATACTCACATGCACCACACAGACATACAGAAGAATATATAATAGCTGATGCTTATATAGTACTTTAGAGTTTATGAAGTGGCTGTTCACAGCATCATTTCATAAACCCTGCAATTCCAGGAGTAGGTGGAATCCCCACTGTAGGTGCAGAGACAAGGAATGAAGAGTAAGTTCTTTTCAGGGCCTACTGACTAGTAAGAGGCAGAAGTAGTGTTCACATCTTGTGTGGTAGTACGAGCCTTTCATCCCTGCATTTGGGGGGTCAAGGCAGGAGGATGGTGAGTTCCAGGCCAGCCTGTGCTACATAGTGAGATGTGTCTGGGCAAGGCAAAAAACGAGAACTCAAGCTGTGGTCTTCAGGTCTCATACCTTCTATCCTTACTCTATCCATACTCATGTAACTTTTCTTCCTTTTTAAAGCCATCATGATTTGTGGTCACTTATAAATGGGTTGAGTCTGACCTTTATTCTGCAAGGTCCCATCAACTTAATAGTTACAAGGACATAGTGTCACCATGACTACAGTAGTCAGAGTTGGAAAGTAACTGTGAAATCTTTCAACCACTACTACCATGTGGTTGTTTTGCAATTATGCAGTCTAATCTTTATTTTTAAATGAGGTAATTAATGTGTGATGTTTGTTTCTGAAGTGACCAGCTAGCAACTAACAGGAGCAGGCCCTGGCTAGGAGAGTTGTCTTTTTCTTTTTTTCAGACATTCAGCTGTGGTGCAGCACATGGAAGTTTTCTCCCTGGACTGTCATTTCATTTCTAGCACATGTCCTTCATTTCTTTGGCTCTGATGACCCCACACTTCAGGCTGCAGCGAGGTGACTGCATCTGCAAAAACCCTCTGAATAGCTAAAAGCTGAATTTCTGTGGCAGCAACCTGAGCCTCAGCAGGTGGGCTCCCTGCCTATTTAGAAAAGTTATCTGGCACCAAAACTATCAAATTGACCTTGGATTTCTACCATGCCTTGGGCAAGGGACACTAGCCAGTATTTTCTCAGAATATGAACAGTATTTCCCCTCTGGTTACTATGCAGTCAGCAACAATTATTTTTCATTTTTGATGGAAATTCTAGTCTAAATAGCCTACAAGTTCTGGCTCCAAACTTGTCCCATTCTAATTCCAAGCAGCTGAGATCAGACATTGGGAAATCTTACTGATGGCCCCAGACTTGAACTTGGAAATTGTGGGAAATTCTACCTTGGCTTTTCTGAGTCTACCATAAAAGATTTTTCTTGCTGAATAGACATGGCATTAAGATACTATGGGAGAAAAGAATAATAAAAACAGTGCAGAGCATGACGGTGCATGCCTGTAATCCTAAGACTCTGAAAGGGGGAGGCAGGGGGATTACAGGGAGTGTGACGCCAGGCTGGGCCACATAGTGCAAGGCTGTGCTGGAACACATATGGAAACCCTGTTCCAAAAAGAAAGTAAAGAATCCTTTATGTGCCGGGCATGGTGGCACACGCCTTTAATCCCAGCATTACTTAGGAGGCAGAGGCAGGCGAATCTCTATGAGTTCGAGGCCAGCCTGGTCTACATAGTTCCAGGCCAGCTGGGGCCACAGGGAGACCCTGTCTCAAAAAGACAAAAAAAAATCCTTTATGTGTATGTGTATATGAAATTTTACTACTTACAAAATAATTTTATTATCTTGGTTCTTTTTTTCCCTTTATAACTCAAAGTTAGACTACTAAAGGGGTTATGGGCCTACATTCCCTCAGTAGTGCCTCAGTTTCCACATCTGTCTAGTTTACTAATTGTATAGGGTTGTGAGATTTAAAGTGAAATAGTATACACAGCACTTAGAACAGGGTATGGCAAAAAAGGCTATAGCTGATGTCTGACACCCTGTAAGTTTCAGCTACTCAGAAAGCTGACACCAGGCCACTCTTGAGCTCAAGAGCTCTGGGCCAACTTGGGTAACATAGCAGGACCCCATTTTTCTGAGAGAGAGAGAGAGAGAGAGAGAGAGAGAGAGAGAGAGAGTCTGTGTGTAACCCTGGCTGCCCTAGAACTTGCTATGTAGACCAGGCTGCCCTTGAACTCACAGAGATCCAACTGCCTCTACCTCCTGAATGCTAGGATTACCACCGCACCCAGCCCATCTTAAGAAAAAAACCAAAACCCTTTGGAGGTGGATGCCTGAGGATCAGTTCTAGTCATCCTCAGCTACAAAGGGAGTTCAAGGCCAGCCTGGGCTACATGGGACCCCGTCTCTAAAAAGCAAAATTACTGTTGTTATTCTGTAAGAAAACCAAGGCTCAAGACTGAAGCAGTAGGATTGCCATGTTTGAGCCAGCCTGAGTTACACAATGAGACCTGTCTAAAATAATTTTTTCCTTAGTAAAAGGGAAGGAGGGCTGGAGAGATGGCTCAGTGGTTAAAAACATGTACTGCTCTTTAGAGGACTGGAATTCAATTCCCAGCAACCATGTCAAGCAGTCCTGGAGATCAATGCCTCTGGCTTCCATGAGCACATGCATTCATATGCACATACACACACACACACACACACACACATAAAAATTTAAACAACTCTTTTTTTAATATTTTATTATTTTTATTTTGTGTGTACAAGTGTATTGCCTGCATATGTGTGAGTGCACCCATGTCGTGCGGTGCTGAGGAAGTCAGAAAAGGGCTTCAAATTCCCCTGGAACTGGAGCTAAGGATGGTTCATAGCCTCCATGTGTGTGCTGGGAATCGAACCTGGGTCCTCTGTAAGAGCAGTCAGTGCTCCCAATCGCTGAGCCATCTCTCCAGCCCCTTAAACAACCCTTTTAAAATTTTTTTTTCGGGGGCTGGAGAAATGGCTCTACAGTTAAGAGCACTGACTACTCTTGCAGATGACCCGGGTTCGAGTCCCAGCACCCACATGGCAGCTACGAACTGTCCTTAACTCTAGTTCCAGGGGAATCCAAAGCCCTCTTCTGACCTCCGCGGCATTGCACAACGTGGGTGCACTCACATATATGCAGGCAATACACTCGTACACATAAACTAAAAATAATAAAAATTTTTTTAAGTTTTTTTAAAGGGAAGGAAAAGGAGAGAAGAGGGAGGAAAGGAGAGATCAATGTTCAGAAGTCAAGTAGGGATGTTAGAGCTGAGATTGAAACCAAGATTATTTACTTATTTATTGGTTTTTTGGTTCTTTGATAAAAGTCTTATAATGTAGCCCTTGTGGCCTAGAGCTCGCTATGTAGACCAGGCTGGTCTTGATCTCACAGTGATCCTCCTGCCTCTGCCTTCCAAGTACTGGGATTAAAGGTGTGCGCCATCATGCCTGGCCCCAAGATCCTTTGTTGTACCTTTGGTGTTTATTCCATCTTAGTTGCTTCTGAAGTCAGTGCCTCCAGTTGTGTATAGGGAACTTTGATCCTTGGGAACTGTGGACCTCTTAATTGTTTAAAGTTGTGTATGAAGAGACCAAGGGACTGTATGTAGTGTTTACTCTTTCCCTAGCTCTTCCCCTTTACTGAGTTCCATCTAGAAAGGACTTTGAATGGTCAGATTCAGAACAGGAAAATTAAAACTTAAAAAAAAATTAAGGTAGTCTCACTGTGCAGCCTTGGCTGATCTGGAACTCTCTGTGTAGACCAGGCTGACCTTGAACCCACCATGATCCACCTGCCTCTGCTTCCTGAGTGCTGGGATTAAAGGTGCACACCACCATGCCAAGCCTGGAAAGTTAAAACTACTAAGTGATAGGAATATAATAGGCAGTCTTGGGGCTCAGAACAGTCTCACAAATGATGGAGAAGAATGTCCTTTGAGAAGTTGGAAAGGAGCGGGAGAGACGGCTCAGCAGTTAAGAGCACTGGCTGTTCTTACAGAGGACCCAGCTTTGAATCGCACCACCCTCGTGGCAGCTAACAACTGTCTATAACTCCAGTTCCAAGAGATCTCACGCCCTCTTCTGTCCTCCATGGGCACTACACAACACGGATACACTTACATATATGCAGGCATAATGCTCATACACATAAATTTTAAGTAGGGAAAACAAGGCATTCTTTGGCACCACTGGGAAACATTGGTACTAATCCCTTAATTTATAGAAAATTTATAACGAGTCCTCTCATCTGTGCCTCTTACTGGTGTGATCTTTGGATTGTCTCATTACCTAATTTGAACTTGTTTCATATCCACCTCAGTTCTAGAAATAGTGGGGATGAGAAAGGAAAATAGACTGAGAAAGGATCTCATTGTAACAAAACCCCTATGAGTCACCAGGACAGGTGCTAGTATTCTTAGCCTTAGGGAAGAGAAGGAATTTACATAAGGTCGTAAAAAGCAAAACTTGAATACTAAGCATGGTGACACACACCTTTAATCCCAGCACTTGGGAGGCAGAGGCAGGAGGATCACTGTGAGATCAAGGCCAGCCTGGTCTACATAGCAAGTTCCAGTTCCAGGCCGGCTGGAGCTACAGGGAAACCCTGTGTCAAAAAAAAAAAAAAAAGCAAAATTTGAGTATTGAGTTTTGTCCTTTTGTGTTTAAATAGAAAGGTGGTTCCCCACATGCCCTGAACCTTCCCTATATAGTAGGAGAATGGGAGAATGGTCCAAGTACTTGATAGCAGTGCTGAGTGAGCTTGGTCCCTGGGCAGAGATGCTGAGTGAAGAGATGCCACATAGTGACACCATGTCTTTGTCCTATATGTAAGGAGCCATATTTAGCTTTTTAGTAATTCTCTAATGTTTCTACTTTACTTAGGCTACCTTCAGGAAGAAATGAGTTTAAAACCCTTCACTTACCCATTTCCAGAGACAAGGTTCCTGCATACAGGGTCCATTGTGTACAAGTTCAAAATCAGATATGGCGACAGCATCAGGTAATTTTAAAGCACAGGCTAGCATCCTCCAGGTCTTCCTTTCTTTGCCTTTATTCAGTCCAGGGAGTTTCTGCAGTGGCACCATGTTAGACTTGCCTTAGTATTTACTGTTCATTATATGTGTTATTTATATTAATTCCTAAATTAGGGACAATATGGTTTTTTCTTTTTTTGGTCTTTTTGGGACAAGGTTTCCCTGTAGCCCCAGGTGCCCTGGAACTTGCTATGTAGACCAGGCTGGCTTTGATCTCTCAGAAATCCACCTCTGCCTCCCAACTGCTGGAACTAAAAGCCTGTACCATTATGCCTTGCTTGACAATATGCTTTTGAGGAAGTGTTTCTCAAAATTTTTCATCTCAGGACCTCTTTGCACTCTTAAAATGATAAAAACCCTAAAAGTTTTATGCTATATAAGTTATGCATAATATTCATATGAAATTAAAAATTAAAAATAATGTGCTTAAGCAGGGCGTGGTGGCGCATGCCTTTAATCCCAGCACTCGGGAGGCAGAGGCAGGTGGATCTCTGTGAGTTTGAGGCCAGCCTGGTCTACATAGTGAGTTCCAGGATAGCTGGGGCTACAGGGAGACCCTGTCTCAAAAAGACCAAAAAATAAAATAAAATAAAATAATGTGCTTATTTTAAATATATATCTATTAAATGTTAATCCATGATATTCTATTAAAATTACATTTTAAAAATTAATGAGAAGACTGGCATTGTTTACAACCTTGGGATTTCCCCAGGAATGCAAAAGCATTTCAAAAACCTAGTAATGGAGCCAGATGTGGTGACACATGCCTGTGATCCTAGCACATGGGAGGATAAGGCAGGAGGATCCTGCATTTGAGGTGCCCTAGGCCACCTGGGTCTGCATAGTGCCATCATGTCTCAAAGAACAGAAAATAGAAAACAGGAGAACCAATCAATATAACAGTAGTCATAACACGAGGGAGTAAAACCCACATGACCATCTCAGCTAATGCAGGAGAAGCATCTGACCAAAAACATTTAATGATGTATTTTTATTTGAAAAGTGTTTTGCACCTACTATGTGTGCAATGCCCATGGAGGCCAGAAGAGTGTGATAAAGCCACCACGTGGCTGCTGAGAATTGAACCTGAGTCCTCTGAAAGAACAGCAAGTCCTGTTTAAAAAAAATTTTTTTTTAATTCTTCTTTTTCACTGGTTTTATTTTATGTGTATGAGTATACTGCTTGCATGTAGGTAGGTGCACCAATGCTCTCGGAGTTCAGAAGAGGGTTTTGGATTCCCTGGAACTGGGAGGCAGAGGCAGGCAGATCTCTATGAATTTAGGGCCAGCCAGGTCTACAGAGAGTTCCAGCTCAACTAGAGCTACAGGGAAACCCTGTCTCAAAAAGACAAAAAAAAATTTATTTTATATGTAATTATATAATATATATGTGTGTATGTACCTGTAGGGCGTGTATCTGGGTGAGTACAGGTGCCCTCATAGGCCAGAATAGGGTCTCAGATCTCTGGAGCTGGAGTTACATACAGGTGGTTGTGAAACTCCCAACATGGATACTAGGAACCAAACTCACGGCCTCTGGAAAAGCAGCAAGTGCTCTTAACCACTGAGCCATCTCTCCAGCCTTTGTTTTGTGTTTTGAGAAAGTCTCAGCATAGGGTAGCTTTGAACTCACCATGTACCTGAGGATGAGCTTGAACTCCTGATCTTATTTCTAGAGTGCTGGAATTAGAGGCATGCACCACCACACTCAACTTGGCTATCAGAATTCGGGTATTTTAAATTCATGATTTTTCTTATAGACACACACACACACACACACACACACACATCTATCTTCGGTTATTTTAAATTCATGATTTTTCTTATAGACACACACATCGGTTATTTTAAATTCATGATTTTCTTATAGACACACACACACACACACACACACACACCCATCTATCTTCGGGTATTTTAAATTCATGATTTTTCTTATAGACACACACATACACACATCGGTTATTTTAAATTCATGATTTTTCTTATAGACACACACACACATCTATCTTCAGGTATTTTAAATTCATGATTTTTCTTATAGACACACACACACACACACACACACACACACACACACACACACCAATCTATCCATCACTGGGTCGGCCACAGACCTGGAGTGTATGTCATGGTTCTTTAGCTCCACCAGAGCAGATTCTGGACAGAGCTTTCTTATGTTGCCTATTTGTTCATCTTCTAGAGGAGAAGAGATGGAAAATAAGGAAACCATCATCCAGGAGCTGGAGGTAGGGAGCAGACAACTTCAGGGGAAGTCACTCCTTAGCCAAGGATGCCGCCACACCAGGTTGTGATGATTTCCTACAGACTGAGTCACAAACCCCACCTGATGACTTGGTTTCTCCATGCAAAGACACTGCTGTTCTTCCAGGGAAATTTAAAGCCTGCATCCTTTCTCAGTTCTAGCTGAAGTGTGAGCACCTTTGAGGCTGAGAGTTACTTTGTTTCCACCAAAGTTCCCAGACAGGGCAGCTCTGTTGTGGCAGCTGGCACAGAGTAAACTTCCAGAGGACGACTGCCTTCAGGGCTCTGGGAAACTTCATTCCAACCACCGCCTGGTATTTGACATCAAGGAAACAGCTGTAAATACACAGACACGCAGCTGGGTCTTCATTTTAATTGGAAACATTTGCCGTTGCTTTGGTCCCACTTCATTTTCATTGCTTTACTATGTAGCTCTTCCTGCTTTGGGCTTCCCAGACAGAAAAGACAGCATAGCTGGGCATGGTGGTGCACACCTTTAATCCCAGCACTTGGGAGGCAGAGGCAGAGGCAGGCAGATCTTTGTGAGGTCAAGGCCAGCCTGGTCTACATAGCAAGTTCTAGGCCAGCTGGGCCTACAGGGAGACCCTGTCTCAAAAAAGACAAAAAGCCAAGACTGAGCAGGTAGACCGCTTTGTAAACTGATTAAAGCATTGGACCAGGAGTTAGAGTTCTGGGGACCTGGCCCTCAATTCCAGTCCCAACTTAGGCAGTCTAATGGGCTGTGTGACTTGGTAAATCATTTGTCAATCTGGGTCTCAGTCACCCCATCTGTAAAATGAGAGGTTTAAACTAGCTTAGCTTTTTCTTTTTTAAATATTTTATTATTTTTATTTTATGTTTATAAGTGTATTGCCTGTATGTATGTAAGTGCACTCATGCCAGATGGAGGAGGCCAGAAGAGGGCATCAGATTCCCCTGAAACTGGAGTTACAGACAGTTGTTAAGCACTATGTGGATGCTGGGAATCGAACGCAGGTCCTCCCTAAGAGCAGCCAGTGCTCTTAACCACTGAGCCATGTCTCCAGCCCCAGCTTAGCCTTTTCTAATGTCACAACTCAGTGACTTGTGACTAGTGATTTACAGATATATGCTTCCACATTTTAAGGAATTACTATATTATTAAATATACTTTTAAAGCCAGGCGTGGTGGTGCACACCTTTAATCCCAGCACTCGGGAGGCAGAGGCAGGCAGATCTCTGAGTTCAAGGCCAGCCTGGTCTACATAGTGAGTTCCAGGCCAGCTGGGGCTACAGGGAGACCCTGTCTCAAAAATGAAGGAAGGAGGAGAGTTGGCTCAGCGGTTAGGAGCACTGACTGCTCTTGCAGAGGACCCAGGTTCAATTTCCAGTACCCACATGGCGGCTATGAACCGTCCTTAACTCCGGTTCCAGGGGAATCTGATGCCTTCTTCTGACCTCCATGGCATTGCACAACACACGTGCACTCACATACATGTAGGCAATACACTCATACACATAAAAATAATAAAATATTTTTTTAAATGAAGGAAGGAAAGGAGGGGAGAGAGGGAGGAAGGAGAAGAGAAGAGTGATCAAGGAAGACTACCCAGCATTAACCTCTGGGCCTCCATATGTACACACAGGTATACATGCACACATGCGTATACCCATAGGAACACACAAAAAGAAAAAAAAATCACTTATCATAGAATTAGTAAACATTAGTTATTATAAGCAAGACACCATGCTAGTACAGAGACTATAAAGGTAAATGCCAGTTTCTGCTTTCTAAAGCCCGAACACGAGGAAGATGAAGGTTAGAGAAGTAAAATAACAATATTTGTGACTGAAATTTAGAATCTTTTCTCATAGGAAATGAGTGGTCCTGGTCTGGAGCTCTTGCTCTGTAGAACACATACTTGTCTGACATGCACAAGGCAATAGGCTCGTTCAATAACCTCCTCCCCCAAAGAAGTTAAATAGGAAATGAATAGTTTTTTTAAACATTTATTTGTGTGTTTTCATGTGCAGGAGTGCATGGAGGTAAGAGAAGTTGGAGGAGTCAGTTCTCTCATATGAGTCCCAGGGATTAGACTCAGGTTGTTAGGCTTGGTGACAGGCATGTTTATCTACTGAGCCATTTCAACTGACACGTGACAGGCTTGTTTATCCAATGAGCCATCTCACCAGTCCAAGTGGTCTTTTATAACACCAAACTGTTCATTTAGACCAATAAGCATAGATTAATTAAGGACTAATCAATTAAAAGTTAAAGAGTTACTGGGTGTGGTAGCATACCCCTTTAATTTGAGCTCTCAGGAGGCAGAAGCAGGTGAATGTTTGTGAGTTCTAGGCCGCCTGGTCTACATCATGAGACCCTATCTCAAAAAAAAAAATTTAAAGAGAGAAAGGCTTGATCTGAGTAAGAGCAAAGTAACTGCATTAATACTGTTAGGCTTGCTCAACATCCATCATTAAGGACCTGTTATGCATCGTCCACTATGAGCTAGAGTCAGGTGGAGACAGTACGTCAGGTACTTCCCTTACTTCCTCTCAGTAAAGAAAATGAGCCATGTATGTGAAAACACAGTTGGAGGCTATAAAGTTTGAGCTAACAGCTCATTGCTGATGCAGGGGACGGCTTTCTGGAGGGCTGCCTTTTCAACTGTACCTTCCAGAACAGGTAGAATTTGGACAGGTTCTTCAGGCAGAGGGAAGAGCAAAATCACAGAAGTGGAGAAGCAGAAGACAATCAGGAAACAGCAATTAGTTCAGTTTCATTAGAGTATAGGTATGTGAGGACTTGCAAGATGGCCCCAGGGTGAAGGCATTTGCCATCAAGGTGACACCCTGAGTTCTATCCCAGGACGCACATGGTAGAGGGAGAGAATGGACTCCCACAGGTTATCCTCAGTGACACACATAGTGTACACGTGTATGCATGCACACACACAGTAACAGTGAAACATTTTAAAAAACAAGGTATGTGAAAACAGCAGATGGCATAAATGGAAAGACTGGCTGAAATCCAAGAGCATTAAAGTAATTTTAAACATCTTTTCTCAGGATTCTATCCGTGCAGTCTTGGCAAACATGGACAACCTGCAGCCATTTGTTACAGAGCACTTCATTGTGTTTCCCTGTATCCTTTCTTTCCTGGTCTTTTTTGGGGGGCGGTGGGAGAATGTGATGTTTAAGACAGGGTCAATCTCATGTAGCCCAGGCTGGCCTTTAACTCACTGTATATCCAAGGATAACCTTGAGCTTGTAATCTTCCTGCTTCTGCCTCCCAAAGGCTAGGAGTACAGGTATAATCCTATGTAAAACACCATGCCTGATGTTTTGTCTTTTGAGACTGGGTCTTATAAGGTAGCTCTAGCTGGCCTGCTGCTCAGTATGTAGTCCAGGGTATCCTGGAACTCAAAGTAGTCCTCCCCCCTCAGCCTCCTGAGTGCAGTGGTTATAGGCAAGCACCAGCATACTTGGCTTTTCCTGGCTATTAATGAGCTATATACAAGTCACACTGTAGATTCAAATAGAAGCAGCAAGGCCAAAGGTAGCTTGGGGGGGTGGGTCAGAGAAAAGATAGGAGGAGTCTTCTCCCTCCAACAGTTATCGGGACTGTACACCTGCCTTTTTCCTCCTTCCTTAGCACCATTTCCAGATAAAAGCAAGTGGGAGAGAGTCTCCCATCTGAAATTTAAACATGGAGACATCATCTTGGCTCCCTACCCGTTCATTTTCACCCTGTATGTGGAGATGAAATGGCTCAGTGACAACTGGTTGCCTGGTGAGGACAGTGATAGGAGTGAGTGTTTTGAGGAGGAAATGGGTCAAGAGTATGAACTGACTGTGGTGCAACTGTCTGCCCAGTGGGGCTCCAGAAGCCTGGAGCATTTCCCCAAAGCCTGGCTTTGTACTCTGTGACTTCCACTGAATAGCCAGCTGAGATACAATATGTCATCTGTGAGCTGAGATAAGTTATTTAATCTTTCTGTGTCTCCTTTGTGAAATGGTGAAGAAATAAGTTCAAGAATTAAATACATAAATGTTAGTGGAAGGAAAATACATGGTCTGATTTGAGAGTAATCACTCAGTGAAAGACACTCTTAAAACACTTCCAAATTCTGGACTATGCAGTGACTTTCACCTTAGGGTTATCTTAAAGGTTCTCCCAATTATTAATCTCTGAGGAACATGCCTATTTTCATTCAATAAGGGACAAGCAAATGCATTCCAATTTGATTTGAAAAAAATGTGAAGGAGAGCTACAGAGATGGTTCAGTAGGTAAGAACACTTGCTGTGGAAGCACAAGGGCCTGTATTTGAATCCCCAGTACCCACATGAAAGCTGAACATGGTCACACATACCTGTAACCCCAGCATTGGGAGGTGAAGAGCTCACTGGCCAGCCAGCCTAGCTGAAATAATGAGTTTCAGGTTCAGGGAGCGATCCCATCTCAAGGGAATAAGGTGGAACAGCCCAACATACTATGGCCTCTTCATACACTCACACAAATGCACACACATACACATACACCCCCTCCACACACAAAGTGCAAAGTATTTCTCTGATGCCTAAATCCCAGTGTTTCTTTTTTAAGATTTTTAAAAATTTATGTGTATTTGTCTCTGTGTGTATGTCACATGCATTTGTGGGCTTACAGAGGCCAGAAAAGGACATTAGATCCCTTGGAGCTGGAGTTACAGGTGGTTGTGAGCCATTGGACATGGGGGCTAGGAAGCAAACTTGGGTCTCTTGGAAAAGCAGCAAACACTCCTAACCACTGAACCATCTCTATAACCCTCTTCTTTCTTTTTTCTTACAATTTTTTTAATGTACATAAATGTTTTCCTACATTTATGTATGTGCACCACATACATGCCTGGGACAACTGAAGGCATCTGGAACTGAAGTTACAAACAGTTTTGAGCCACCATGTGGATGCTATGAACTGAACTCAGGTCATCTGCAAGAGCAGCAAGAGCTCTTAACTATAGGAGCCAGGTCTCCAGCCCTCCCCAAACTCTCAAAGTAGCCAGCAATGACCTTGATCCTCCTGCCTCTACCTCTTGAGTGCTGGCACCACATCCAGTTTATTTGGGGTTGGAACGCAGGCTAATCAAGCACTCTACCAAGTGAACCACATCCCTAGCCCTTCCAGTTTTTCTGTGTGTGTGTGTGTGTGTGTGTGTGTATGTGTGTGTATGCATTCCACAGCACATAAAGATCAGAGGACAATTTTGTGAAGTTCGTTCTCTTCTACCTTTACATGGGGTTTATATGAGTGCTGGGGATCAAACTCAGGTCACCAGGCTTGTGCTACAAACCCTTTGCCCACTGAGCCAACTTAAAAGTTTGCCCTCTTTGGAGGGGCATATTGTTAAAGTATGGTGTGATTCAAATCCATTTCAGCTTATAGATAACAATTGTTCTGGAACAGGGTAGGACCAAAGTTTGAAAACTGTTTATAGGGAAAGTGGTACCAGGCAGAAGGGAAAAGGACTCAAGTAAGTTTTGTCTCAGACCAGCTCTGAGAAATAAATAGCCAGAAACCCAAATAAAATTGTCTTGATTGAACTGGATATAGTGGCTCACATCTTTAATCCCAGCACTCAGGAGGCAGAGGTAGGCCAGTCTTATGAGTTCAAAGCCAATCTGGTCTACATAGTGTGTTCTAGGCCAGCTGGAGCTATAGGAAGACCCTGTCTCAAAAGACAGAAAAAAAAAAAAAAAAAAAAAAATTTCTTTATCCATTATGGCAACATTTCCTGTTGTAGGGAAACGAACACACGACATTCCTCTTGAGTTGGTAAGTTTGTCTTTTCTGTACAAAAAGAAAATTGTCTTTATTGCCTCAAAAGTGCTGCTCTTATCTCCTGTCTTTGCCCCTCAGTTTCTACCCAGGTCCCATCATGGCTGTCCACATGAGACCATATGTCTCATCTTGTTTAGATTTCAGAGGTCATGTCTCTGACAGAAGGTCTGATCCTTACTGGAGTAGTGGTGTTACAAGTTGCCTTTGGTAGGGAGTCCTTTGCTGTGCCTCCTAAACTATGAGGCACTCTAGAAAATGAGGAGTCCATATGCCCCCTGCAGATCCTAGCTGAGCACAAAGCAGAAGAAGCTGTAATGAGGAAACGAAAACTCACAGAGGAGCCCAGTTCCCCTGGAAGACCAGGGCCACACAGGTTAGTGTGCAGAGAGAGGCTAATGCCTGGCTTGTAGTCAACTTTGCTACCTGTTGCCCTTTGTTGATTCTGACCTTGGATAAGTCACTTTCCTTTGGGAGGTTTCGTCAGTACCTGGCCCATTCCAGTGGGTAGACTAAGGAAACACAGTCCCTTTCTCAGCAAAGTAGAATTGTCTGTTAAGATGAAGGCTGAGGGGTGGAGAGCTGGCTCAGTGGTTAAGAGCACTTGCTGTTCTTCTATCAGGTGGCTCACAACTGCCTGTAATTACAGTGCCAGGGGATCCAGCACCTTCCTCTGGCTTCCATGGGCACCCATACATATAAGGCATATACATGCACATACACATAAATAAAAGTAAAGCTTAAAAAAAAAAAAAAGGCTAGCCGGGCATGGTGGCACATGCCTTTAATCCCAGCACTCGGGAGGCAGAGGCAGGCGGATCTCTGTGAGTTCAAGGCCAGCCTGGTCTACATAGTGAGTTCCAGGCCAGCTGGGGCTACAGGGAGATCTTGTCTCAAAAAAGACCAAAAATAATAATAATAATAATTTAAAAAGAAAAAGATGAAGGCTGAACTGGAATGCAGCTTACTGATAAAGTGATTGCCTAGTAAGTGTGAGGCCTTGGCATGAAAAAAGACAAAAGCCAGAAGGAAATGTAGTGAGTATAGTCAGATATAGTGTATTGACTCCAACACTAATGTACTATGGTAGCATTACATTATGGAAGGCAAAATTGGAAAGCAAAAAATTTAGAGTCTCAAAATATTATTCAAAAGTAGAAAGAGGGTTGAGAAGATGGCTTAGTTGGTAAAGTGCTTGCCAGGCCAGCATAAGGACCTGAGTTCAAACCCCAGAACCTGTGGGGGTGGGGAAAATGTAGGCATGGTGGCCCAGGCTTGTAACTGCAGCTAGAGGACAGGCAGAACTTTGAGTTCAAGGTCACTGGCTGGCCTGGCTAAGCCAGCCTAGCCTACTTGGCAAGCTCTGGGCCAGCAAGAGACCCTGTCTCAAACAAAAGGAACACACACAGCATACGCATGAATGTGCACATACAAAAAAGGGAGAAGGGGCTGGGCGTGGTGGCCCATGCCTTTAATCCCAGCAGAGGCAGGCTGATCTCTGAGTTCAAGGCCAGCCTGGTCTACATAGTGAGTTCCAGGACAACTGGGGCTACAGGGAGACCCTGTCTCAAAAAGACCAAAAAAAAAAAAAAAAAAGGAAAACATTGAAAGAATGAGAATAAATAAAATACAATTCTGTCTTATCTAGTGAGCAATTTTAAGTGCAACCAGGAGTAAAATATGAATGTGTGCACAAGATTGTGGGAGGTATGGTGGTACACACCTGTAATTTCAGCATCTGGAAGGCAGAGGCAATAGAATCCCTCACTGCAACAGGCCAGCCAAGGATGTATAGTAAGACTTTGTTTCAAAAAGAAAAAAAGGATGGTGTACATGACTTGTTAGGGGGAATGCTGAGCATATCCCGACATGTAGAAGTTGCTGTTGTAGAGGCTACTTGTGTAGTGGCTACTTGTTGTAGAGGCTTCTTGTGGCCTTTTGATTCTCTATTGGGGAAATATGAGTCAGTGAGACCATTTAGTCATTCTTAGCATCCCAGAGAGGCCACCTGAAATAACCCCAGGCCAAAGTGCTTTTACACTAGGCTCACAAAAGGCAGCTGCCCTTCTCCTAGGACCTGTGGGCCCCTTAACACACAGGAACAGTGAGATAGACTCTAAAACCCTGAGCCTTCCAGATGTGTGTGCCAGAGACAAGTATAGTTCATTCCGAGCCATGTGGAATGTGATGGTGCTTGAGGTGGAAAACTTTGCTCTGTTTTATTTAACTGATTTTCCTACAGAGTTGAGGCACCAGATCGTCCCTTAGGTTTTGATGTACAATTGAACATTTCAGAGTCATATGTGCTCTGTCAGTCACATCTTCTGTTTCTTAAATATCTCAAATTGGAATTCTGTTGTGAATTAAAGCAACCAAAGAGAATTTTGCCACACAATTTTTCCTGCCAGCCAGAGGTAGTATAAAAATAGCCAACTTGCTGAAATATTCATTTGGGCCACATTTGCTTGAATGTGGTAATGTTGCCACAGAAAGTAACATTTCCTGGGCTTTCCTCCCCAACTCAGGGCCAAGATGGAGACTGCCAGCCAAGCCTCCAGGAATAAGAAGTGCCATATGAACACCAGGAGGGGAAGCAGCAAAATGGAGGCTTCAAGGCTCTTGACAGCACCTGCTCTGTTACAGGTCAGGGTTCCTATTACCTGCTCATCTTGGTCCTTGATTGAAACTCTTCCTCCGGTTTCACTCTCTGTAGAATAACATTCAGCTATTCTGCCCTCACCAGTCTGTCCCCCAAACGGCTATGTAATGCAAATCTTTTTGTTAGAGGTTCTTCTCAGCTTAAAAAACTGCTTATGGTTTGGGAGGCAGAGGCAGGTGGATCTCTTTTGAGTTCGAGGCCAGCCTGGTCTACATAGTGAGTTCCAGGTCAGCTGGGGCTACAGTGAGACCCTGTCTCAAAAAGACCAAAAAAAAACATTAAAAAAACTGCTTATGATGGCTTTGGTGGTGCATGTCTTTAATCCCCAGCAGTACCTGGGAGGCAGAAGCAGGTGGATCTCTGTGAGTTCAAGGCCAGCCTGGTCTACATAGTGACTTCCAGGCCAGCTGGGGCTACAGGGAGACCCTGTCTCAAAAAAAAAAAAACTGCTTATGGGGCTAGAGAGATAGCTCAGTGATTAAGAGCACTGGCTGCTCTTGTAGAAGACTCAGGTTTGATTCCCAGCCACATAGTAGCTGACAACTGTCTGTCCATTACTCAAATTCCAGGGGATCCGATGCTGTCTGTAGGTACTTCTTGACACAGGTGCCCTTAAATACATGCAGACAATACACTCATACACATAAAATAAAAATAATAAGGGCCAGGCGTGGTGGCGCACACCTTTAATCCCAGCACTCGGGAGGTAGAGGCAGGCGGATCTTTGTGAGTTGGAGGCCAGCATGGTCTACATAGTGAGGTCCAGGACAGCTGGGGCTATAGGGAGACCCTGTCTCAAAAAGACCAAAATAATAATAATAATTATTATTATTTTATGTATATGAGTGTATTGCCTGCATTAGTGCACCCATGTCGTGCAATGCTGCGGAGGTCAGAAGAGGGCTTTGGATTCCCCTGGAACTGGAGTTAAGGATGGTTCACAGCTGCCGTGTGGGTGGTGGGAATCGAACCCGGGTCCTCTGCAAGAGCAGTCAGTGCTCTTAACCACTGAGCCATCTCTCCAGCCCTGTAAAGTGTTTTTTAAGAAACTGTGTGTATTCTGCAGTTTAAGTAAGAAAATAGGCCTGAATTGGATGGAGGTTAAATCCAGTACAGAATCATCACTGTAGAAAACTTTTGCCATGGGCCGGGCATGGTGGCGCACGCCTGTAGTCCCAGCACTTGGGAGGCAGAGGCAGGCGGATCTCTGTGAGTTCAAGGCCAGCCTGGTCTACATAGTGAGCTCCAGGACAGCTGGGGCTACAGGGAGACCCTGCTTCAAAAAGAGCAAAACAAATTTTTTTTATTTATTATTTTTATTTTATGTACGTGTACCCATTGTCATGCAGTACCCCTGGAGGTCAGCAGAGGGCGTTGAGTCCCCTGGAACTGGAGTTAGGATAGTTAGCTGTCATGTGGGTCTGGGAATTGAACCCAGGTCCTCTGCAAGAACAGTCAATGCTTTTAACCGCTGAGCCATCTCTCCAGCCCCCTAGCATATTTTTCTATTTCTTCCCCATTTAGCTCTTAACTATTACATATTCCTTATAGACCTCCCACCTTCCCTCCCTCCGTCCCTCTCTCCCTTCCTCCCTTTCTTTCTCTCCTTTATATTTATGAAATAGCTTTGATCCTAAGTTCTAGAAACAACAGCTCACCCCCTTAACCTTCCCTAGACCCACACAATGATCAATGAAGAAGCAGCATTACTGTGTGATTACTATTTGCCAAGTACTTGAAATATCATGCTCTTCCCCTAAAAACACCAGGAATGGCAGGCAGGCGGTTGCAGATAGGTGTACTGTGTGCCAGAAGCACAGGGTACCTAAGGAGCACAAAGAGGCCATGAGGGAAGGGTTCCCAGAGGAGCTGAGGCACTTGGAGAGCCTCAGGCCAAGAGTAGAGTGACATGCTTTTTGTGACTATAAGCCAATGAACCTGGAGCATAGGTACAGTACTTTAAAATGTTACTGGACAGGTCAGAATGGACTAGACAGTGGTAGGCCAAGATCACAGGGATTCCCTAAAAATGTTTTTACATAAAGTAATGAAGCAATTTCATTTTCAAACTATTCTGTCACGTTTTTAACGCATTGTGTTTCATGCCAGCGCACACAACACACATGTAAAACCTGGCTGCTTCCCTCCAGTTTATCAGTTATTTGAGTGCTCCCTTAGGATCTAGACCTATGCCTCTGGGAACAGGGGTAAGCAGTGGGCCCCTGATTTTGTGCCGCAACCAAGCAGCCCCCTGAATGATTTTCAGCAAAACTTGGCTTCTTGCTGTGCCTCTCGTCCTGTGAGGGGTAAGAAGGAAGGAGAAGGTACGAGAAGGGACATGAAGCTCCTGAGAACAAAGACTTTATACAAAGAGATAATTGCTATTAAAGGAACATTTTCCTTTCTCTACCCTCTGTACCTTCCTATTCTTAGTTTGACACATCATCTCCCTCAAGAACAGTACCCACAGCTTCTTACTCAACATAATTACCTTTTCATCCTGATTCTGGGTTTAGAGAAAAGCTAAGCAAAAGAAGCATGTTTATTGATTTTGACTCAAACCCAAAGACAGCCTCCATCACAGGGCCTGTTCCCAGGGAGAGGATTTCTCCTAAATTAAAGTGATCACAGTGACTCTCAGTGCAAGTCACTTGAGCTGGAAAAATTGAATTTGTTCCTGTGGTTCAGTGCTTGGCATTTTCTGCCCCCTTTGTGGAAAGTTTGGCCATATGATCACATACAGCCAGTGAGGATTGTGCATGTCTGAACACATTGGGAAACCTGTACAGGGAAGCTTAGAACATAATACTTGCTTCATGAAAGATATTTGGGGAAGAATAAGGGAGGGAGAACCCCCTCCTCTTTGTTCCTCCAGATCCCAGACCTAGAGACTCAGACTTTTTTTGAAAGGATAAAAAAATGAGAGAGTACGTAAGTGATTCTAAGGTGGACCATACTGACTGCTCACAGCTTTTTGTCCATCTCTGCTCCAACTCCATTTCCAAGCTGATCTGGCCCTGAACATTCAGGGGGTTCCAAAGTGTGTTGTCCTTCTGCACATCTCCAGGGGCACCCCCAGTCCCTCAGGCCACCGCTCTCATCTCTGACAACATGTGGCTGAGAAGACCTCCTTCAAAGGAAATCTTTCCTGTAAAAGGAATCCTCCTGGTACTAAGATGGGCTACATCCTTACCCTAGGGCCTTTGCCCACTGACCCCTAATCCCCAACCCTAAGAGATGCCTGTCTCTTTGGTCATCTCTGCATCAAGATTTAAACCAAAAATCATAGTTTCATCAAATCTTTAAGAATCATCCTTTCGGGCTGGAGAGATGGCTCAGTGGTTAAGAACACTGGTTGTTCTTGAAGAAGACCTGGGTTCAAATCCCAGCACCCACATGGCAGCTAACAACTGTCTGTAACTCCAGTTCCAGGGGATCCGACGGCCTCTACAGGCATTGCACGACATGGGTGCACTTAACCTACATGCAGGTAATACATACATACACATAAAAATAAAAATAATAAATAAAGTCTGGGTGTGGTGGCGCATGCCTTTAATCCCAGCACTTGGGAGGCAGAG